GATATTGAGAAAACTTCAAAACACGAAAAAGAAAAAGAAAAAAAAAAAGAAAATATTTATAAATTTCCAGCGAGAGAAAAAAATATCAGCTTAAAAATAAAACAAACAGCAATAGACAAAGATCAAGAACGAAAAAAAACAAACGGGAAGAAGAACAAAATCTGGCTACATAGAGGAGGTTATTATTTGTTATGGCTTTGGTTAGAAGGCAAATTAGAATTAAGTAACTGCTTAGCAGTTATTCAAAAAGGAATTAGCCTTAATATACACACATATAGATAGAAAAACAGAACATGATGACAAATATAATAAATGAGTCTTACGATCACCGGTAAAATACCCCATGAGATAATCGACCAAATATGTAAATTAAAGAAACAGACTATTCTGTACATACTCATCGTCATTAGCAATAACATCCATATAATAAAGACTTTTACGTAATATGCAGTAACGATGAAATGACATTTAATCATGATTCAGTAGCCTTTGCATGTGACATAGAAATCAAATGTTTATATTGTTCAAGCAGAGGCCAGAATTCACCTAGAAATAAATCGATAATGAATAACAATTTAAAATAAATATAAAACTACATACGTTGGACTTGAATAACTTGTTTTAAACTACGTACAGCATATTGATTTGGTTTAGTTTCAAGAGTTTCTTTACTGAACGTAGGTATCTAAATAATTATCAAATCATAAAATAATTGAAATAAACAAAAAAAATGTTTGATTATACTTGTCGATTAAGTAATGCTTCGATACATTGTTTTCCACATTCAGCTAATGCATTTAATTCATAACCACCTTCTAAAACAAGAACAACTTTTCCATCAGCTAAATTCATTAGTTCCTTTGTCATATAAGCAAAACCTAAATAAATAAAAAACTAGATTGTTTTTTTGAATTTCTTTTTATTTTATTTACATGTCGGTGTTAATTCATAACCACCAAGTGGATGAGGATGTCCTGTACATGCATCAAAACCACATGAAACAAGAATAATTTCAGGTCGAAATTGTTTTAATATGGGTATAACAACACTTCTGAACAGAAAGAACAGAAGAAAAAACTTATTATTTGTTATTTAAACAAATATTATTTACCGAAATGCTGCTAAATATTCAACATCGGTCATAACTGATTGCGGTTCACCGGAAAAAGCAATATTCACATTTTTACCAAGACCATCATCACAACCACACTAATTAAAAAGAAAAAAAATCGAACTATTTATTTTCTTTTGTTGTTAAAATATTTAAACTAACTTCTTCTATTCGTCCACCACCAGGAAAATATGTTCCATTATCATAACGATGTAATGACATATAAAGAATATTTGGATCATCATATGTTAAATCTTGTGTACCATTACCATGATGTATATCCCAATCAACAATAGCAATACGTTCTAAATTTCGATGTTTCTTTAAATATTTTGCTGCTATAGCTACTGTATTGAAATAACAAAAACCCAGAGGTTTTTGGGTCGCATGATGACCTGGTGGACGTACAAGTGCAAAACCATTTTTTAATTTTCCATCAAGAATATATTTCGATAATTCAATTGTATTACCAATAGCTAAACGACATGCACGTGCTGTATATTCATCATTCCATATTGTATCTGCATCATCGTGTATGCCAAAACCACCACATGGTAAATGTACTAGAGATTTAAGTCGTTCAGCTAATATTGCTGGTGATTGTTGACTACGTTGTCTTTGATCACAACCAAATAGATAAACATGACCAGGACTAAATATATATAGAAGAAATTTTGTATGGATTAGTTGAATTGAAATAATTGTATGGACTTGATATAGAAGTACTCCTGTACACTTCCTATTTTATAAGCCGACGGCGGCATCCGGAAATATCATGAGGATAAAATAAAGCAATAAATATATTATATCCGGTGAGTATTCTTCCGTATAGACCATAAATAATTTTTCCTAGGACTTATTTCAAATGAAATGGCATCGAGGTTTAAATATTTGTTCTCAAAGTACATTTTAAAAATCATATTCAAGTATTGTTTTTTAATGGAATTTATTTACTCACCTATGATACAAGAAACCTTTTCTACTTATTACATAACTAATGGTAAACATTTCTCAAAGTAATTTATAAGTTATATTGAAGTGTATAAAACCGTATGGCATTAATTATTCTTCCGTAAATTCGTAATTTTAATAAATTAGCCTAATAATATATCCGAAAGGTTTACGTCACAATAACCTACTTTCTTTTTTCTCTCTCATATAACTATGCATATATATGAATAATATTAAAATTGCTATAATCATCTGTATTCACTTATGCTAATTTTGAAATCGAAAATTTCTAACTTACTCATGACAATCAGTTAACATATCGATGGTTGCACAACAACCACGAATAATTTCACAATCATCAAGTAAATTTGATCTTTTTAAATGTTCATATATAACAAGTAGACGACGAGGATTCTCAAGATGAAGATCCGTACGTTTACAATAACATTCATGTTTTAATGTATCATCATCATAGGCAAGTCCTAAAAAAATAAATACACTAAAAAAAACATTTTTCGGGTTTTTTTTTTACCAGTAGTAAAACGTAATTGTATAGTACCAGAAGAACTTTTTTGTATTTTTTTTTCTGTTGTTGATGGTATGGCTGATAATGAAGATAATGATTTGGAATGCAATGCTAAACGATCGAGTAATAACTAGAATTAAATAAAAGGTAAGACAATATTTTCGTTTCAAATTAATCTTTACATTTGGATGACGAAGACAAAAATCAGTTGTTTCAAAATTTAATAAATGTGGTTGACTACTATGCATTGAACTAAGACTATTATGTGTACTTTGAATTTTAGCTTCTTGTAATTCTTTTGCTAATAGAGCTTCATTTTCTTCTTCAACAATAAAATGTTTTGGGCCAAGAATATTTGTATGTTGATGATTTTCATGTGTTCCCGTTGTTAAAGGATTAAGTTGAGCATTTTCACCCAAATTACCTAAAATTAAAATTTGGGTTTTTTT